CAATGAGTAAATGATTTTTTCAATATTCTCTCTGCAAACATTCGTATATATTCGAGTGCGCTAGTAATTCGACACTCTTCAAGGCGAAATCGAAGGGCTCTTTGTGGTTTTCGAAAACCAACGCCAAACTACGTGAGCGGCTAAGGGACAATTTCATGTAATGAATCGGTTCCCGGTGAATCTAGTATAGACGCCAAATGGCGTTTTCCATGGAACAGAAATGTATCTGATCTCAGCATGGTGCGATATAAAACATGTTCATCGTTATATGCTAACAGTATTACCCATTCTATTGCAGTATGGTTCACAACTCCAGACCATAGGCGTTTTGATTATCGCCTTCTTGAAGATCCAACAGCACACCGTCTTGGTCATCATCCACTGTATTGTCGATCCCAGTAAGGTGTACCAACAAAAACAATTAACTCTAAGAATATGCCCATTTTGGCATGAGAACACACATCCAGAGGCCAATCTGTTTTGTGCACATAGATTGGGTTTGAATAAACGAATACCGATTGCTTCCGCAGTTGATAGGGTGTGGAGACGCAGCGACTTGGATGGGCGAGATGGTACTCAATAGGATGACTTTGAAGGCTGATTCAGGCTTCATTTGGTGACCCGAGTCTTCTAGGTGAGGAAGGATAGCGCTTCCTGTGACACCTTTTCCACCGTGTTGAAGCCAGCGCGGACAGTGCTCTTTAATCTGCTGAGACAGTTGCCTAGCCGTTCGGTCAATGTAGGTCGCGTTACAAACGCAGCTGAAGGAATATATAGCCATAGATGAGGCCAGCGTAGGTAAACTGTCTTCATTGGATGTTCTCATTTTTGGTGAGCCTGTGAATAGGCATGACAACCTGGCTGCATTAAAGGTTCCTTTCACAGAATGCGCTAAATGTCTCGTAGTCAGATCATACAGGTCATCTCCTTTGAACGGTAGTTTAATAAACAATTAACTAATTTCTCCATACGACACAACTTGTGAGTGGTTAAAATCCTGTTATAATGGTTTTCCTATGGTCTGCTGTGAAGTGATTTAGAGGGCATCTGAAGAGCCTCAGGGACGTTAGCTGTTAGATGATCCAAGCGGTTACCAGATAAGCAATGCGAGATGAGGGACTGAGTCTGTGATAGCAATAGTACCCAGCATAGCAGAAACGACTCCGCTTTTTAGGCTATACACATGATTTCGTCAACGAATCATAAAGTGAGGCCAAGGCTGGTTACAGAAAAAACCCTTGGGTTTGGTTTTTAGAAATTCCCTCGTTGTAAGCTCAACTGTATAGCTTATTGTCCCGAGTTGTAATTAACTGGCCTAGCGGGTTTCACAAAAAGCTAGTGTAAGCGGGCAATAACGGATAAATTTCAATTCTTACCCATCAGAATCTTCCGGTTTTTGCTGTCAAGAATAAGGTCAAAAAGGATGTGTAAACAAATACAGATAATTACAATTGTTGACGCATTGAAGAACAATCCAGGAAGTGCATACTGAGATATTCTTTCAGATGTGATATAATTAGACGATACATAAACTATTCGGTCTAACTCATCTGCAAGAGAGCTCATAGTGAGTGATGTCCTTGTGCCCGAGATAATTCGTGGGTACCACAGTTTATATTAACCGTTCGTGACTGTCGTAAAACCAGAAAAACAGAGCAAATTCTTCGAATATAATCAAACTGTTGGAACACTATCTATCAGCAAATCGCGGGAGAGGAGGGGACAATGAACATTATGATCAGTGTGAAAAACAGGCGACCTATCCGAATAACTCGTTGGGCCTCAATAGGAGTACAAAAACATCGAGCAAACTAAGGGGTTAAAGTGCAAGTACACTACTCACCTGACCAACGAGAGGTTAACCAAACATTTTTCCTTCATTTATACTCGCTATAGAAGACTGCATGTGCAATCTCGTTTGGGCAACTCGTTTAACAAGTTAGCACTATTCTCAACAAGTATGCTGCAATCTGAAAAATTTCGAACCTGACTACTTATTTCAATGGCAGTGGAGTGATTAGTTCGACTACATGAGTGATTTTACTGCACACAGATAGCACATTCTCCTGACTTTGGGGTCCGCCCTGTCTGCTGTTCATTACACCTAGGTGTGTAATAAAAGAATTAAAAAAATACAGACAGAAGAAAAGTAACGTGAACTAATGGCGAAACTCAATATGGCTGAAACAGTTGTACAGCCCTTGGGCACTTTTTCGCTCACGTCCCCGTGTTGTACCACAAAACTGCTCACGTAGTCGATTGGCATCCACCACTATTCTACTGCACTTCAAATGCATCCATTTGAGAAATCATTCAAAATTATTGTACATTCTCGTCATTGTTTCCAACTCTCCCACCTTCAATTTATGATCACGATAAAGCGCCTCTTGCAACCCATAAACGGCAAGGACCGTAAGTATGATTTTCTAAAGAAACCGAATCCAGCACTTTAGAAGTAATCCTTTACCCAGAAAATGTATCTGCATTGGCTGCAAATGAGAAATGACTATTGAATTCACTACCGTGACAAACCCCAATGTGAAACACGTGGGACTGCAACAATGGTTTTTTTCCACATCGGTGGTGCGGCTCAATAAATCCGCTGATGTTTAATACAGTTGGACATAGATTGCTTGGACGAAAGCTCGCCAGAAGTTTACTAATAAGATGGAGACCATCAAGCTATTCCCGTCACTGTCACTGGTGTGCTCCATACGCAACTATCGAAACCAACGTCGCCTAATTCTGGTGATAACTTCGTTCTTGTTCGGGTCGCTGTTGTCTCTCCAATTGGAATTTCGTGTAGTTTACTATTTTAAGTCCTAAGGCCTGTGTTGCAAGATTCCACAACTAAATGACAAGTACAAGTGAATACGAAGTTTACCTATGATACTACTCATCACATTTGGATGAAATCTGAAAAATGAGTTAATACCTCAGATGCAAAACAGACAGGAGCACAGTTCGAATATTTGTGATGGTTGCTTACGGATAAACCAGCTGATAAGATATTCTAGAGTCACAAAGGAGAGATGGCCTTGGTTCCGGGGATAACAAGTCAGCTCCGCTAAAGTACATGCACAAGCGGCGACGTAAAAAGGAAACATTAATTAGGACCGTGATAGTTTGTCTGTTCTTCAGAGATCGCTCTGGAATGAGGGGAATGTACATACACACGACAAAAAAAACACCAGTTGTTTTCTAGTTACCTTCCGATCAATGTACACATCGCCGTCCGAAAATTTGGTCACGCTTTTAACAAAAATACCAACCTTTTTCCACAGCTCGATGACAATGAGACTCGATTATTAAGCCTCGACAGGGCAAATCAAACGCTGTCTCATGGAACAGCATGTGGCCGAGGCTACATAGTAATGATCACTAATGCAAAAATGCGAAACGAAGAACAGCTACAATTCAGTGAGAAATGAATGAACAACTTGGACCCTCTTTTCAATGAACTGTATCATTACCACTAATCATTGCGCTAGAATTACAAGCAAACCGCCATACGGCAACTAACAGCATCTGTGCGGCTTCAGGATACAGATTTAAAGTTAATACAACAGAAAGACTCAAGGTCACTAAAAAATGTCATGGAATTTCCAGATATTATTCGGGAAGAACTCAGCGGACAGCTGTGCATTCGATTACCATTATTCGTGTATATCCAAATTTTTTACGGACATCGTGAACTTATTATAGATTTGCGTTGGCACAGATTACATCCAAGCTGAAATAATGTTTCCCTGCTAAGAAACAATCTGCTGATAAATCGGTTTGCAAGAC